AATTTGAGCGTTGTTTACTGTTCATCATATTCTCCTGTGGTTGTTTTGAATTTTTCCATTTCCGCTAAATGCCATTAGTGAAGATGCCCCAATTAGAAGGAAGGTTTCCTTGCACTGCTATGGATGACATTTTTCGCTTGGTGAAACTTTGTGGGTTGTGCAGTCTGCTTTTGTCGAAGAGCAGCATAGGGTAAGAGTTTGTCTGACTTGCTCACTAGGTTTCCCTCTGATTTGAGCTCGCCTGGAGGAATGTTACCTCTAAATGAGCCTGCTGAAATATGAAATCACAGAAAATGCTGAAGCGTATAATGTAATTGCTTTTCAATTCACGAAATGTCAATCACTGCCATGTCTCCGCATTGTTTAATAGGATATTGATATATCCCTTTTTCAGCGTGAAGCAGAGAGGCCCCCCAACTAATTAATATAAATGGCAAATACTACAATGACTAACACAGCAGAAGATTTTAATTGAGAGTAATATAATGAAGCATTTAGCCAATTTATAAATGCATGTTAGTGGCCTGTCGTTACTTTTCTGACATGTCGAGAAGTGCGTGGCGTTCCTGGCAGCGTGGTATATAACTCCGGGGACCACTAACTGCAAGCATTTACACAATCCACTTAAGGCAAAGCCGAGTCCCCAACAGCCTGGTTTCATTAATGGATCATATTGTACCGCTGTCACACTTGATGAATGCCTTTGGCAAGGAGATAACGGTGTAAAGATTCAAGAGATTCGCAAATTACACAGTGTGTAATCCATAACTCACGGAATAATTTATGGCAGTGTTCTGAAGTGCAGAAATATTGCTTTAGACACATTTTGTAACGCTTGTTTTTCGACAATGTAAAATAAAGAACTGAAATGGTAATAAAAAAAACTAAATACAAAGCTTTTATGAATTTTAGATGCATGCCATCTGTCTCAGCACTACAATAAATGCTTCATGTTTTTATTAACTCCACTGCAGACTCATACCACTGTGTTTGTTTTGTTAGCATCCATCTGGAATAATGCACTTTTAATTTAAACGAATGTATATTTTCCATATTTGGGACACACAGGAAGGCATTCCTGGGGGAATAGCATGTGCTCACAGTTTTTAGTGTATTCAGGCTGTAGTCCATCCATCCATCCATTTTCTACCCGCTCTATGTGTCCCCTAACAGCAGAACCACATTAAAAGAATGCTACTACAAAATCAAAAAAAGAGAAAAGAATGCAGCCCAGACAATTTCCATGCTGTCCAGTGGACCTAAAATAAAACTGTAACATAAGGGCAGAGGAGTGAATGTGTAAAACATTATGTGTGGGGACAATAGCAGCTAGTGATTGTCTTTCATGATAAACTGTTACAACAGATCTACTTTGTCATAAGGTGGAGTTAATCATCGAGAAAAGGTGCGATTATTGAATGAGATGATAAAAGACTTTTAAATTTATTTCATTTACCTGGTGAATCCCATGGACATATGTTTGAATAATCAGAATCAGAACTCACTTTATTGCCAGCATGTACCAACATATCATAAAAGATCTAGGGCTAGCATCAGCTAATGCATTCACTTCCTGATGTCCACCAGCACACTTTCATCCCTGGGACTACCATGCCATGCTGACCATCTGTTTGTCCTGCATAATGACAGTCTCAGTTGCCGAGACCTGCCAGGGTTCATTCGGATGGACACAGTCCTGTTTGCCATGTGACTCCTCCCACCTTGTGAAGGTGCACAACCCTGACGAAACCTTTGGTTACACCACAGCATGTGCTAAATGATGCCAGCATTAGAGCCCTATTTTTTTTTCAGTAACTGTTTCCGTGTAAACATGCGGCACCTAATTATTGTTCAAATCCACATGCAGGCCATGTGGTGCTGTTGTATGTTATTATTGCTTAGCTGTATTACCCTGAGCACAACCCTAATTACGGTAAGTAGTGAGAAGATAGATGGATGGATGGATGGATGGATGGATGGATGGATACGCATTGAATTTAAACATAGATAATTATTGTTGAATACTGATAATGTTCCAATGTTAATGTCTGTATCTCACTAACATAACTCTCCACCGGGCTCTATATATAGTTAAACCATATGCCAGATCAGTGGGCAGGTTTTTTTCTGGATAGATTGAATTCTGAATTATGTAATGTACTGTAATTAAATATGAGTATGAATAGAGTCATGCAGCTACACAAATATTACGTTATAAACAACTGCTCCCTGGTCACTGCTGCAGTCATAAAGAAATCATTATATTTTATCTCAACTTTATTCAAACGCTGCTCTCTCATTAGCGAGAAGGGAGAAGGTGGGCCAGGATATTTCACAGAGGAATGAAAAGGGAATTAAACAGACAGGGCTGAGAAAAGCGTATAAATGGTGCTGATGTGAGGTTCTCATAAGGACGGAATGCGAGCCGTCCATTCAGTGAACTGAACAACTACATGAGCCTTAATGTTCTTAAGAGTTGTGGGGCCCTAAAGAGGAGCATGTGAGAGCCATGATTGAGACAGAGAGACTGTACTGTAAACTGAAATCACATCAATACAGGGTGCTTATTACCATAACATATCTCAGTATCCACCAAATAATCCGCATACAGCTGTGCGGGTAAAACGTGCCTCATTGTGAATTTGTTCTACACCTTTCCTGTCCTTCTTGTGCTGTTTTTTTTTTGTGGGTGGGGCAAGGTCAAAATGTTGCCCAAAATATGTTATTTTTTTAGAGTGGGGTGTTATCTTGAGGAAAAATATGTATTATCTAAATGGAATACAAATGATGATGATTAGGTTAATGAATTCTTTTGCTTTCATCCCCCCAGTGTTGCACCTTGAAATAATTACTTTTCACTTGTTTAATTAAATTTGAAACGATGCCAGGGCTTGATAATTTATATTCAAGATGCCAAATGTTGACAGTGCAGTAAAGTGAGAAAACCCAAATGGTTAATGTAACATAATTCAGACAGTTTGTAGTACTGACAGCTCCAACAGAGAGGAAATTAATTCTGGTTATTTGATCTATGGAAAAAGGCTGAAAACAATGAATAACCACCATCAAACAGAGGTGTTAGTCAATTTAAAATGAAAACAATGCATCTGACCATCAGTTATATCCATCTTATTTATCAATCTATAGATATCTCTCCAGATATGTATAAATAAATAAACATGTGTTTACATTTAGATTTTCTTACTTTGAGGGTGACAGTATTGACAGTTTTGAAAGTATTTACATGAAACCTATTAATATCACAGTGAATTCACTCTGCATTTCAGCTAGAATTCAAAACCCTGATGTCCAGGTGAGTTGATTATTCTAAATTTCTGTGTCTGTGTAAGTATTCTGTGTCTATGAGCCCCCTGAAATGAAGTAGGCCTGCTCTGCAATGCACACTGCAGTGTAGGTCACTGCAACCCTGACTGGAAAAGCTGTTATTGATGATTGATGGATGTACCAACCCATTTTCTTCAAAGTGCATTAACCACTACTTGCAGTATGGCTGCCTATGTTAGAAAATTTGTGGAAAATTGGAGGAAGCAGAAACTCAAGGAAGTATCTTACTCAGCAAATATAGTGGCTCTGTGTGTATGTATGTTATGCTGATTTAATAAGCAAGAAATTGCTCATCAAGCTTAAGCCTACAATAACATGTAAATAATGTCAAAAAATATGCATATGAACTTGAGGATTCCTGTATAATACACTCACTGTTCCAGATTAATAGAAGAATTAAAATGAGAAATGATCATTTAAAAACAGAGTTATTTTTTGATAATTTTTTATCCATTCATCCTTCAAAGTGTTTATTTTAGTCAGGATGACAGGGAAACCTGCTGCCTATCTTAAGCACAGGGCACAAGGCTGGGATATCACCCTAGGTCAGTGTTTCCCAATCCGGTCCTCGGGGACCCACAGTCAGTCCATGTTTTTGCTCCCTCCAAGCTCCCTGCCAGACAGTCCATATTTTTGCTCTGGGAACTGGGAGGGAACAAAAACATGGACTGTCTGTGGTTCCCCAAAGACTGGGTTGGGAAACACTGCCCTAGATACAGGGCACACACACAATTGCACAGTAATTGTAATTTAGAGACAGCAATTAGCCTAAATGCATATATTTAAACTGTGTGTAAACCACACAGAGTGGAGGTAATACCCTCACCCCCAATCCAGAACGTGAGGCCACTGTGCCACACCAGATTATCATGTTTATGCAACTTGAACATTACTGAGTCAACAACTTTTTTTGTTGTCACTTAAGTTGTATGTTGCAAGTTAATAGCAGAAACAAAATATGACAGGATTAGAGGGAATGTAAAGTAATGGATATGAATAAAAGTTCTGTACCTTCACTTCTCATTCTTAACTTGCATTAAGAATCATGAGTCATTTCAGTGACATGTGAGGGCAGTGTATGGAATGGAGTTTTGGTTTGGGTTGGCCTCTGCAACAGGCATGGCTGTGAGTCTGTCTTCCCTATTGTGCAAACTATATTATTTGCTATGTCTGGGTTGGGTAATTTAAATGACTTTTTACAGATCTGAGTGTTAAGTTTTTTTATATCCAGCATATATTAATAAACACGTACCCCAACAGCAAAAACTTATATTACGATAAAAACATATACTCGTTGTAAGCGATATATAAGATCAAAGATTGGCTTACTATTTCAATTGATTCAGTAACCTATAACCTGCTTAAACCTACTAAATATCACAATTTTCTTCATTACCAGATAAAATGCTGTCTACTTAAAACGCACTTAAAATGAGCATGTTAATGAATCCCCAACTTTAGGTGAACGATCACAGAATACCAGCTTTCAAAAAGATGTCCTTTGTTAATTTGGATGTGACGAGAAACCTTGTATCCGAAAGACGTCTACGTGTATGTGTGCGTGTACGTGTGTGTGTCTGCATGTGTAGTAAACTGTAGGGTAAGGGGAGTGGCGTGCAGGAACTGGGAGGGACCTAGGCTGCTGAGACATTTTACTTGTTCGATAAGTACAGGAGCTATGCCAGAAAAAAGCGCAGCGCCTCGGTAGTTGGAAACTACAGTAATAACCGATGGGGAGGAGAGCTGTCCGTATCCAGCGTACATACTAATTAATGTTACTCTAGAAAAGGAAGCGATTTGTTTTACTGTGCGAGGTATTTGCCAGGCAACCAGCGGTACTCAAAACGTTAAAAAAAATAACTGAAGCAAGAGGCAGGACTTAAACAAGAAGCTCAGGAGAGCGTAAGAATGGTGCCCACCCTCCGGTGTCCTGCGCGATCAGAGCTTGTATCTGCCCCCTGTTTGGTGTACCCCCTGCACCGCTGAATTGTGGAAGCTCTGCGTGCCGGACGCGTGGCTTCTTTTGTGTACAATAGCTGCTCATAAATGCATGAGCAAACATTTCGGTTTAGCACAAATGTAATAAGAGCCCTCGGGGGAAAAAAGCTCGAGAGCTGTCCTACCTGTGCTTGATTCTCCAAACTGCACACTGCAACTACCGCGACGACTACAAGAGGATTATCAAAACTACAGGCTACAGTTCACCCCTTTCCCCATACTTCCCTGCAATTTTTTCCTGCAGATAAAACCTGCTGATTGTAAACTTATTTTTTATTTTTACTTTCTCAGTACAAACTCGCTTTAGCGAATAAGTCGGAGGGGAGACCGCGAGAAGGTTACGCTGAGCTCTGTAAATCATAGTGCTGCAGTGTTTTCCCGAAACATGGATGTAAGGTTTTATCCCTCTTCTAATGGGAATTCTGTTCCTGGAGACCCATCCAACCTGGATTTTTCCCATTGCTTGGGTTACTACAACTACAACAAGGTGAAGTGCCGGCTTATTTTTTCTGTTTGTTTGTTTTACAGTGTATTAAATTAATGTTGGCATGGTTGTAGCAGTTTTTCGACACCAGGGACACAAGTTTACTTGCTGCTGATGTTTAAACATTGTGTTACAAAGGCGCCGACAGTGATGAAAATAGTTTAAGGGATCGTTGCGTGACAAATCAAATAACTTGCTGCAAACTTCTCCGCGTGTTTTATGCACATTAACTTAAATATCGTGTCCCTTCGAGCCGGCGTCCTCGTCGCAGGTGCAAGAGCAGCACGCAACATAAAACTGAAAGTATTATGAACTGGAAGCATAATGTCTCTGAGTTTTAGAAATGCCCGAACTTGGCCTGAATGCTTATCTTCCATCTTCTCTTCTCTTTTTTTACGGACACAAACTTGATGATCTGTTTCATGTTTTATACCGAGAGCAGACTTTTCCACGGTTAATCTGGCACATCGTTCGTCGTTCATCTAATTAATCAATGTCACTATCTTCACTACATTGTCACATTTTGGTTAACTGACTCAACGTTTTTGGCACTCTCGGATTACGGCTTTCTGTACTTGGTGGAAATGGTTGTTATGTAGGTTAAAACGTGAAAATCTCGTGAAAGTGATTTGTCTTTCGTCGTAGTTTAAGGTCCTCGTTGTAAAGCCATGGTATTTTACCTAAAACTCTTGACTGCTTTTTTTTAAATTGATGTTTCTTTTAATTAAGAGGTGACATCAAAATAGAAGTAATTCACAACATTTGACAAGTATATAGAATGCAGAGTGTGTAAAACAATCATTCTTTTAAATATCATCTTTTCCGGGGTCAGTGATAGGTCGCGAGTTTTAGACATATTTCATTTTAATTTTACAAAGATGCATTTCTCTCCAAAGTGTTACTGTACGTGTTACTTTGACTGATGGTGATTAGATATACAAGTGTCTTCGGTAAGAAATTAATTTGAAATTGATGTCAGTTGGTATTAATTACCGATGTGTACATATCCCCCCATATGCTGTTTTGAAGGACTCAGTTGGGGAAACATGATTATTGAATATCCAGGTGGTCTGGCACCTGTTTGTAATCTTATCCACTAGTTAGTCTTTTGTCTGTCTCTGTTTAATTTGGGGGATTTTGGATGTGTCTGGTTTTAGCAACAATCTAAACAGTGAAGATACCTAGCGCTGATCAGCAAAAAGGGCAGTGGGGTTTCTTTTCAGGATTCCAGATGTTAGCGCATCTGTGTGTCCCGGGTAACATTTTGTATTTCGTTTTGGAGACTGTGATAATCAAAGCAGTGTAAGTGCACTAGAACCTAGGATTAATGTGCCAGTAAATACTGAAGGGCAATCCATTACCCGATTGCTTTCAGACTGGATGTGATAGCTGACTCGGTAATGTACGAATATTAGACACTTTGCATCCTGGCTAACATTGCAGGTGAATTGAAATGTCCAGGTGTAAAAAATTATTGCATGTGCTATTTTACATTATTGAATGGTGTTTCTACAAGCACTACAGCACACAGCACTTGTTGCCCTGGCACTACGGTTTACTCTAAATGTGACAGTCTTGCTCTCAGCACAGCTTGTGGGGAATTCTGCTGCTGTCGTTTGTGTCCCGATAGTCTCTGTGGGCAGCGAAATCCATTGGCTGGAATGGAGTTCCGTGTCATTGTCCCCCACCCCCCCAATCTGGTCTCCTGTTAGGCCTCTGCTCCACAATCGCTCAGCGAGGGGTCACGCTGTGACGAATGGAGGAGGTGTGATGACTTCCAGAGGGACGGACTTGTCATCAGCCATTAGTGGGAAAATCCTGCAATAAAAAAATAGAACATCTTATGCCTGTTAGAAATTCCTGGAGTAGCAATTTGCAAATTGAAATGGAGTTGGTACAGCAGATGGCTCTGCTTTCAGTTCCTAACCTTGGGAAAGAATAAAAAATAATCAGTTTAAAGGAGAATTTCACTGAAACAAGTTCATTTCTTTGTCATCAGACTGTTTTTATCCACCAGATAAAATTGTTTACCTTTTGCAGAGATCAGAACTAACCAGAATGTTTATGGTATGTTATGCAAATTATTATATGCTATTCCATGTTACGAAAAAGTAGATGATGGTATATTGTATGCGATTTGACAACCCTTGGGTATGATCCATACGTTGTAATGCAATTTTTTGCACTTTTTGCAATTGTTTGCACTTTGGAAAAGTTGAGTGATTTAATTAGAATTGTACTTTTTGCTTGTTACCGATGCATTGATTGTTATTAAAGTCCTCTGTCTAACAAGTGATTTGACACATTTATTTAAATACAGTGGGTGCTGTTTACAGAAAAAGGGTGTGGTCACCATGGATGTCACAGCAGTGGCATTTCTAAGATAGCATTCTTCGAAACAAAATGCATATGTACCTCATTTGATTCGTCAAGTTGTTTATAAAGCTAAAGTGATTTTTTTTTTAACTACCTTCTATTTATGAGAAGTAAAATGTTTCCCACAACTAAATTTGAGATTTTCCAGGACATATTTGCAACAGAATTTAAGTTTTGACATCTCCTTTAAAAGGTAGTGGAGTGGCTTTATGAATTTTAATGAGATTTCATTTGAATTTATAAGCAATAAACATGCAGATTTCCAGTGAAATTATTCTGCTTCAATGACACTAAAGTCGGTAGTCCAAAGCATGTTCTGACATCGCAGAACCATTCCAACAGAGCAAACAATGTGAATAAAAGGTTCATCACTAATTTGCTATCCCCTACCTATGGCACCGATAAGATATGGAAGTTTCAAAAGGTCAGTTATGGGAAAGAGACGGCAGTCGAGAAAAGAAAATGTCATAACTTCACAGAGCAGGATGTATTAGTTCAAGTCGGTGCGTTACAAAGAAAAATAATTTTGTAATCACACAGGTCTGAGCAGAGGGGCTTCATGGAAGGTCCCATAAAGGATTATTGGAAACAGCCTAATGCCCAGTGCCCTGCTAAAATGCCTTGTAGTGGAGGAGAAGCCCACCTGTTATTTTTTCTGTTTTTGAAATTTAATTGTCTGGATTGTGCTCAGGTGTGTGACAGATTTCTTGTTGCAGTAGGGCTGGTCTTTAATATAGAGGTTTTGTATGAGTTCGAAAACAAAGGGTACTGTGTTTAAGGTCTTTCCCACAGTGCCCACTGAAATAATGAATGGTTGGTACTGGGAAATTATATGTGGAGTTATACATTGGAAATGGGAGGTTCGAGGGGATTATGGTCATGCTTTTGATTTTTATTGTGTGCCGCGGTAAACGGCGGCCACATGTTTTATTCATTACGAAAAGTTATGGCGAACCGCTAAAGTTATTAAACGCTTTGCTGTTCGTATGTGTGTCCACTTTGATTGGGATGCAGCTGGCTGCTTTAGGGTAGAAGTTGTGGGATTTGTTTAAGGTCTATTTGATGTTTCGAGTGCTCCTATTTCAGATGCCCGCGTTTGTCCAAGAGTCATTGCTGTAATTAGCCTTGGTTTTCTTAGCCCCAGTGCGTTTCCACCAGTGCTGGAGCTTCTAGAGAGTTCTCTAGCTGTTTTCAGCTGCAAGGCAGATGGCATCTTTCATGCTCACCTATATAATGCTCTAGATTTAGTAAAACTTGTAGTAATAATTTGGTAAAATTATATTTAGTTTACAGAGCCCACTTTAGGGCAGACGTCTGCATTTTTTATTTTTTTGTAAACGACGACGAGAAGTTACTCTGATGACTTGGATCTGTGGCCACCACTACCCGAGTAAAGAGGTTTACAGACTTTGCCAGTTTGTGGCCAAATGTTTCTTGTGACTAATGTTCACAACTGGCAGCCTCTGATTTCAGTGCTACTTAAGAGTGATTGACATCACTTCAAAGCGAGGCCGGGAGCAGAGGCAGGCCACACTATTATATTTCATTTTTCACTTGGAAAACCAGATTGCTTTTGCCATGTCTAAAAATGTGTTTATGATTTACTTCATACATGGCTTTTATGCCTAATAAGGCATCTGTCTTGTTCCCCTTCTGTTGCCATAGGCTACATGATGCTTGTACTGTAATTGGTAGCTAAATCTTTTTAAAAAAACTTCTTTTTCATTTGGAATTGCCCTAACTACTCCGTATACCCAGGCATGTTGTCATTTTTTTCCCCTCTGCAGCTGTTCCTCTCCTCTGGTTTTGTTTGTATTTTCAGTAATCAAATCTTTATTTAATCAGACATACACTTTTTGTCTGAGATGACCTTTGAACTCCAGCTTCCATGATGCGCCTCCGGTCGCTGTCACAATGGTTGCTATGGAAGCCATGATGGAGGACTTCCATTTTTTTTCCCAGAAAAAAAAAGCAGACGGGCCAGTAAACTCGCCATCCTAATGGTGAGCTGATCTAAAGCAGGATGTTTTATGAAAATCAAGGGCATCTCTAGCATTGTGTTGTGCTCTTTTCATTCTTTATGTGCTGCCACTCTCAAGCGTTCTGTGTGTCGAAACAACAGGCTGGCCCACAAATGAACACTGTCATTGTTGTGCCTCTGAATTCTGGCACTTAACGATACAATATATTTAGACTTGCTGTACAGAAGAAAGGTCTGCTTTCACCGTATATAGGCAGCAATAAACTGAAATTGTGCCGTAATGTTATGATTAACTGTTTGAAAAATATACTTGAACTGCTCATGAAAAAGTAGCATTCTCAACAGCAGGTGATTTATCTTCCAGATGAGCTTAAACTGTGTTATGATGACTGGTGGTCAACCGTGATGTTTTACTGGGAAACCAAAGATTATCAAATCTCTGCGTTGTGCGTCTATGTCTGTACAAATGTAGAGGTCTAGGGCGGGTGCTTCTTCCTTTTGAACCATGGTATAAGCTGCATCGCGAAAGTGCTGAATATACCTTTTGATGGAGGCTGATTTTCATCTACAGGTCAGCACTCATGCTCTTAATTAGTTGGCTTCACACCGTCCCACACAATGCTCCTAAATAACACAAACATCTTTG